AACCTTGAGTGGGTAGATCAGTAGAACGCATTTTCTGCCAACAGTACCTTCTGCATGCCTGTCTTAGTACACAGCATCATTGTGGACATAGGGATTTATGCCTTTTTTGGACTTAGCTAATTTCATCTACTTCATTGTGGAGGTGATGGTGCCAGAGGCTCAAATTCTCATAATGTGGCCATCAGAGGGCCTGTCAAATTTTTTCCTTTTCCTTCTTAGCACTAGTGTGAACATCTTGGAAGGCATCTGTGCTTCTTGGTAATATTATGTTTTGACGGATTTTGTTTTTGTCCCTGCTCCAAGACTTGGAGTCAGCCACTGCCTTGGCAGCATTGGTTCCTTTCAGGGACAAATAGTACTAGACAGTAGCAGCTGGGTGTGCAGACACGTACTATTTGTAGGCAGGATGATACCAGAGCTTGTTTGGGCCCATTTAGGGTCAGGGTAAAGAAAAATAGTTTTAAATATTTTCCACATCATGAGTTCACATTGGTGTTTTCAGCTTAGAAGTCCTTCCTTATTTCTGAAAACTTTTTAGCTCATTTTCCTTTTCAAGCTGCTCACTGCTCTTTTTTCTGCCAACCTTTATCTGTATTGCTCTATCGAACCGTGGGTTTAAAAAGTTATTTAAATCACAATGTTATGTGGAGGTGCCTCAAAAAATTAAAAATAGAGCTACCCTATGACCCAGCAATTGCACTCCTGGGTATTTACCCCAAAGACACAGATGTAGTGAAAAGAAGGGCCATATGCACCCCAATGTTCATAGCAGCAATGTCCGCAATAGCCAAACTGTGGAAAGAGCCGAGATGCCCTTCAACGATGAATGGATAAAGAAGATGTGGTCCATATATACAATGGAATATCACTCAGCCATCAGAAAGGATGAATACCCAACTTTTACATCAACATGGATGGGACTGGAGGAGATTATGCTAAGTGAAATAAGTCCAGCAGAGAAAGTCAATTATCATATGGTTTCACTTATTCGTGGAACATAAGGAATAGTATGGAGGACATTAGGAGAAGGAAGGGAAAAATGAAGGGGGGCAGAACCGGAGGGGGAGATGAACCCTGAGAGACTATGGACTCTGAGAAACAAACTGAGGGTTCTAGAGGGGAGGGGGGTGGGGGGGCGGGCTAGCCCAGTGATGGGTATTAAGGAGGGCATGTACTGCATGGAGCACTGGGTGTTACATGAAAACAATGAAGCGTGGGTCACCACATCAAAAACTAATGATGTATTGTATGGTGACTAACATAACATAATAAAATAAAATTTGAAAAAAAATTTTAAAAAATCACAATGTTATGTAAAGCTTTAGAAAGCTCTCTTTCAAAAGGTCATCTTGTTCTACTTTAGATTAAAGTAATATCCCATAATAAATTCATAGTTCTTCATTTTAAGTGAGCTTTACGAAGAATAGATGTGTTTCAGGAAGCCTGGGTGGTTCAGTCCGTTAAGCGGCTGCCTTCGGCTCAGGTCATGATCTTGGGGTCCTGGGATCGAGCCCCGCATCGGGCTCCCTGCTCTGCGGGGAGCCTGCTTCTCCCTCTCCCTCTGCCCCTCTCCCTGGCTCGTGCTCACTCTCTCTTTCTCTCAAATAAATAAAATCTTTTTAAAAAAAAAAAAAGGACTAGATGTGTTTCATTATTAGATAAATCAGGGTTGTATAGAAATCCTACAGGCCTTCTTTCTTTTTTTCTTGATGTAGGTATTTTCCTTTTAGTGTTAAGTTCATATGATAGCTTCAGATAGTATCAACAGACACACAATTATTTGAAAAGAAAAACCCCACAAATCTACCCCCAAAAGAATACCAAGCCATAATACATGCCACAATACCTAGTACCTTAGATATTACTCTCCAAATAGAGGATGGTGATGCCAGCAAGACCACAGACAGAAACAGGCTTTTTGAAATTTTATTTAAAACTACTTAAATTTTCAGGGCACCTGATGGCACAGTCAGTTAAGCATCCAACTCTTGATTTCAGCTCAGCTTATGACCTTGGGGTTGTGAGATCGAGCCTTGCCTTGGGCTCTACGCTCAGCAGGGAGTCTGCTTGGGATTCTCTCTCTCCCTCTCCTTCTGCCCCTCCCCTGCTCGCTCACTTTTGCTCTCTCTCAAATAAATAAATAAATCTTTTAAAAAGTCCTTAAATTTTCATTTCATGAGCCAAAATATAGTCTTTGCCTTTTGTTCATTTGCATTTTTTATTCTTACTATTATTTACTTCTGCCAAGTCAGTTTTACTGTTGGACTTCAATTTCTCAAGGCTTTGAAAGACAAATTCAGATATTCATGATGTGGTACTTCTGTATTCTTTCATGTTGTAGAAGAGCACATTTGCACACAAAAAATTGTTTTCTGTTTATGATTTTTAAAAACAAAACCTTACCACATAAATGAAATCCTTTTTGTAGTCCTTTCTCTTGGAGGTAACCATTATCTTAAAGTTGGCACAGATTCTTCCTTTGAAAGTTTGAATGTTTCTCCTATATGTGTATGATTATATCAACAATGAATAAATGGTGCTTGGTTCTTAAAATTTACATAAAAGGCATTATATGGTATACAACATTTTGTAACTTGCTTTTGCATCAAATGTTTCTTTAAAATTTTTCCAGATTGACGTATATAAATTTATTTCATTCTTTTCTGTTGCTATTTTGCATTCCATTGTATGAAATGCCTTAGTTTATTTCCCTATGGATGGATGTTTATTTAGGTCACCATCTTTTGGTTCTTCTAAACAATGCTTTATTGAACACCTTTATATTTCTTTAGGCACATGTGGAATAATTTCAAAGTTTATACTTAGAAGTGGATGCTGAGTTATAGACCAAATATAGTGTTATGATATATTACTAAGCTATTCCTCAGAGTGTGCCAGTATATGAGAATTCTTATTTTCCCATACAAATTTATATAGTTAGACTTTTTAATTTTAGGCAAACTGATGGAGATGAAGTAGTAACTAATCATTATTTCAGTTTGCATTTCCCCCGAACACTAGTAAGATTGGGCATCTCATCATAGTTTATTTGTATTTTGGTCTTCTCACCTATGAATTTCTTTTAAAAATGAAATAATAAAGGAAGGTAACACTAACAGTTGGTGTCCTCTTTATTGATTCTCTGAGGGTGTCCACTCTATGCCAGGCACTGTGTAAGCTCTCCAGGTACATTAGGAAACAAAACAAAGTCTTCCAAGTCAAATACAGATTTTTTTAAACAATGTAACAGAATGTTAAAGAGAGATACTGTGTTCTAATTTTAACCAGAGTCCCAAAGGCCAAGAACAGAGTGACAAGGGCCAGGTCCCCTTGCATTCTAGACCCTCCTGGGCAGGACTTGCCAAAAGATGGAAGCCATTGCCAGCGTGAGCATTCACCCACCAGTAGCCTGTGAAAGGAAGCAGCTGAAGGGCTGAGAGAAGCATTTCTTCAGGGAAAGTCGTTCCTGTGCTGGGCATCCCACCAGTATGTGTATGATGCTGAATGCTGTAGGAACGGGTGGCATTGCTCAGGCAGAATGTGTCGCACGGGAAGAGCGACAAGGTAGAGTGCAGAGCCTCTTGGCACCAGTACCGAGGGAGTGGGCAGAAGTGGGGTACCATGCCTTTGGTGTTCTATCTAAAAAGTTATTGCCAGACCCAAATTTATCTAGGTTTTCTCCTGTGGTGTCGTCTCCGAGTTTTATAGTTTTGCATTTTATATTTAGGTCTGTGTTCCATTTTGAGTTAATGTTTGTGAAGCGTAGAAGGTCTGCATGACTGACCACTCTTTGTCTCAGCCATATGTCAGGATTGTGGGGAGAAACCCTGAGGAATGAGGTGATGTTCCCCTCCAGGACCAACAGCACACTTAGCAGATTTGCTTACTGCTTGGGGTAAGTGTAGTGGGTTCCCTAAGCTCAGCGTTCCTTTCTTTGTAACACAAATCAGTGCAAATGCAGGAGTCTCCAGGCCCTCTGTGTTGCCCTTGTGGGACCTGGAGTCTGGGAGAACCAGCACAAATATGCCAGTGATCATACTGTTGGATTTGCTGTGCGTAATAAAGTCCTCTTCTTCTGACCCAAGAACCATTTGTGAGACATTAACTGATTAAGGTATTAGCTTATATGTAGGGTAAAATTAGATCACGAAACTGACAATTATATGATGAAAATGAGAGAGCATTAGGCCTTCAAAAACTAATTTGTTCAGAGGTTTCCCAAAGAAGATTGTTAGGAATGGAACAAAATCAGAAGGTGGTAGCAGGGTATTCAGGATATCGAGAAGTAAAAAAGTTTATATTTGAGGCAGTGTTTTATGTCATTACTGGCTTGACAAACATACCTATTATATGGATAGGGCTTCAAGTTGGTTTGGAAAAGGAGAGGACAATATTTCTTTTCTGATACCTCTATTACCCTTGTCTTTAAATGGATATAAGTTGTTTCAAAGAGTTAGAAACAGTAACAGAGCAGATCTCTATAATCTGTGCATCTGGCCCACATGATCAGATTGCATGCTTTACTGCCAACATAGACAAAGCTTATCTCATTCTGGGGGGCAATGATGTTGGCTATTTAGGTTTGTTGGTTTGGTTTTTTTCCTTCTCCATATATCTTTGGACCAAAGTCTGTAATGGTAACTTTTCCATATCACTGGAGGGTATAAAAACCCAGGGTGAAGAGTGTTCATGTGAAAGTAGAATGAATTAGTAAGCCAGGGGTGTGTAGGGCGGCCAGTGAGAGAGACAGTCCCAAGCAAAAGATCGTGCAGGTATTATATATGTTACTGCCTTCATGCTGTTTTCTCGTCCCTTGATTTATTGGCTGACACCTTGAATACGGTGAAGTTACAATACACATTACCCCTTCACGTGAATTGCAGCTTTTCAGAAAGGCAAACCACAGAACAATTTCATCCGAACCTGATGTCATAAGATTCTAGAGTCTGCTGTCATCACATTCTGTGTTATTGCCATGTTAATTCCACACGCAGCTTAAGTGTTCAGTCTTCTGACCTGTTCCACCTACACAGGGCATTTTATAGCTTAAGGATGATGGCTTAGGAAGGAAGGGAGAGATTTACTTTGGATTAAATTCAATATGGGAAAATGCTTAAGGTAAGCCTTTAAAAAGAAAAGAAAAACCCCCACTGGTCCATATATTTCATGTGCTAAAGAACATTGACATGTTCATGAACCCAGCTTTAACACTTCCTTTAGTTTCCCATAATAACTAAGTATGAGGACTAGCTGGATGTTTATCTGAAGTATTCTCTCCAGAGCGGTCCTACTTCATCCATGGTTAATATTTTAAAATATATTAGTCAACAGGGCATACATTTATTCTACTTGTCTCCTTTAAATATAGCAGTTCAAGAGTCTCAAACAGATACTATGATTTACTATTTTTAAAAGAGGAAGCCCCCTCCTTTCCTTCAGGGGATATTTTCGTTCTTGTGCCTTGTCATATGTTTCCCCTGGTCTGTCTTTCTGCCTGTTTCCCTGAGTCTTTCATCTGATCTTCCCAAGGTTTAATAGATTGGGCAGGTACTGTGTAGGTAGAGATAATCTTTCAGACTTGGGCATTTTGGGAGGATACATCTATGTGACCATTAATTCTGGTGCCATAATTTTCTCATTCCCTATTGTTTCCATATTGATAAAGTGGGTATTACTCTCCAGGAGGCTTGGCAGGTCTCCACCTCTGCTCCTTATTTTTTTTCCTCATTTGACACTTTTCTCACTCTAGCCGCAGCAAACAGGACCAGAGCGTGCAACCAGATTATCCTGCAGTTCCAGTTACTTCGGACCCCCTGCAGCATGGAGCCTCTTCTTTCACTCATCGAACTCTATCTCTTGATCCTAAAAGAGCTCATCTGTCTGAAATATGTAATGTCAGTTCACGTAGTGAAAGTAAAAATTTACCTTCTTCATCAAATTTATCTACTCACTCATATTTCTCACGAAGAAGACATTATTTACTTGCTAAACTTCAGAAAAGCTGTATTTTCCCCAACCATCAACACAGTAGAGCTAACTTTGATTCTCAAGAACAAAGAATCTTCAGTGATTTAAAATCAGACCATCTTGGCCTTAGATTCCAAAGTTTTTTCTCTGCCCCTAAACTAAGTGTAATTTCCTGTTATGAGAAAGCTAGTTTTTTTGATCTTCAATCAAGTGGTCGTAGCATCTGTATTCATCATAATACAGATGAAATTGAAATGGTTTGTAAAAACTCAAGTATTACTGGTGCTGAAAAATATCTAAGCTCTTGTTCTCCTGAATATAACATTACACATTTTATGAGTTTTGGAACAAAAGCTAATCCTTCAACCTATCCACACACCGTTGGTGGAAACACCTGTCAACACAGCACAGCAACCTTGGTTTCTCTTGCAACTGTTCTCTCCTATACCTGTCAACAAAACGAAACTGCAACTGATATTGAAGAAAGAGGCCAATCAAGGAAAGTTTCCCTTCATCCTGTTCTCAAAGTCACCATACAGATCATTCTCCACCCGTGATTCAGCAGCATCCCTCTCAAAGAGTAACTTCCCCTGTTTTCTGTAATGTTGGATTTTCACTTTATAAAAAAATGCTTGTCACTTTATCCCACCTCAGAAGGACATTGCTTTAGATTCCTTTGAAGATGAAAACATTGTTATTCCATCTTACGATGAAGACACATCTTCATCCAATGCAATTCATAAAACAAGGTCACCTCAGACTTTCCACTCTCTTAGAAGGGTAGCTCAAAGCAGAAAATTTTTCCACCAGGCACACTGTAGAAATCACGGCTCAGCTCTCCTAGAAGTCTCCCATCTCACTAAGCTTCACTGTCTTTTCAGAAAAAAAGACCTCCACATTGCAGTCTAAATTTAACTTTAATTGCTATGTTTTTTTGGAAAGATGGCTTATTGACATTATTGGAATTGGAAGTCAAAGGTTATTAATCTTTTTCAGGCTTTTAACAGATTGACTACTGACATGTTGACCAGTCTCAGATTTCTGGATGATTATTGTAATATTTCTGTGGTCTGAAAAATACCATCAAGCATTGATATATAAGTCTTCTAGATGTATGACATTCTCTGAGAGTTTTAACATTTTCTTTTATCCTACTCTAGTCATTATAGACAGTATTCCTACCTATGTCACCTATAGAGGTATACTCAGCAATTTACAAATTTTCATTTGTATCAGCCTTGTTAGCTTCATTTCTCATGCCAGATAGCCTGGGGACAGATGATATTTTTACTAATACAAGGATCAAATTATAAGTAAAAAATATTGTAATAGAAATATATAGAATATATTGAAAACAGGTATTTTAACTAAATAATTTTAATACACATTTGTGTGTGCATGTCTGAGACTTCAGAGAACTCTGAGATCAGAGGTAATAAATGCATATATTAGTCTTTATTTTTCAAAGTGAATATTTTTTAGATTTTTTTCCAAAATTTTCACTTAAAAAATTTTAAATAAAAATTTTATTTTAGAGCACCTGGGTGGCTAGTTGGTTAAGCAACTGCCTTTGGCTCAGGTCATGATCCCAGAGTCCTGGGATCAAGTCCCACATTGGGCTCCTGGCTCAGTGCATAGCATGAGCTATGCTATTTCTCTCTCTCTCTCTCTCAAATAAATAAATCTTTTAAAAATTTTTTATTTTAAAAAGTATCTCCCAAAACTTTATTTTTGAGTATCTTTCAATTTTTTCCCACTATATTAAACTCTATAGATATATTTATCAGAGTAACTAATGAATGAAAAAATGCATATAGACAACTAAAAATACTTAAGTTAGAATATAGTTAGTCTTTGTAGAGGAAAGAAATTGGCATTATGTTCAATTATTTATCATGATAAAATGCCTCCTAAACCTGTATCATTGGGCTAAGATATTACCTTCACTTTTGTGTTTTTCTCCAAGTTTTAGCATGTATCTTAAAAAAATTTTTTTTCTACTTCATTTTTTTAACTTGTGGTAAAATATACATCACATAAAATTTACTGTCTTAACCATTTTTAAGTTTAGTGACATTAAGTACATTCATATTGTTTTGCAACCATTATCACCATTTTTCTCCAGAACTTTTTTCCTCTTCCAAACTGAATTCTGGACCCATTAAAATCACTCCACACTCCCCCCATTCCCCCCAGCCTCTGGCAGCCACTTTTCTACTTTCGGTCTGTGTGAATTTGATTCCTCTAGGCACCTTAAAGAAGTGGAATTATGTCTTTTTGTAACGGCTGTTTCACTCAACATAACGTTCTCAAGGTTCATCTATGTGTCATAGCATGTGTCAGAGTTTCTTTTTTAAGGTTGAACAGTGTATGTATAGACCACATTTTACTTATTTATTCATCTGTTGATGGACACTTTTGTTGCTTCTACCTTTTAGCTATTGTGAATAATGCATGAACATGGGTGTACAAATATCTCTTCAAGACCCTGTTTTTTATTCTTTTGATTGTATATCCAGAAATGGAATTACTGAATCATATGGCAATTCTATTTTTTAATTTTTTTTGAGGTACTGCCTTATTTTTTCCATAGCAGCTGCACTATTTTATGTTCCTCCAAGAGTTCATAAGGTTTCTAGTTTCTCCACATCAATGCCAACATTTGTTCTTTTCTGTTTTTTGACAGTAACCATCCCAATTGGTACAAGGTGGTTTCCCATTGTGGTTTGCATTTCCCTAATGTTTAGTGACACTGAGCATTTTTTCATGTGCTTATTGGCCTTTTGTATATCTTCTTTGGAAAAATGTCTATTCAAATCCTTTGCCCATTTTTTAACTGGGTTGTTTGCTTTTTGTTGTTGAGTTGTAGGAGTTCTTTATATATCTCAGGTATTAACCCTTTACCAGATATATGATTTACAAATCTTTTCTCCCATCATGTGGGCTGCCTTTCACTCTGTTATGTTCTTTGATGCACAAAATTTCATTTTAATTTTGATGTCTAATTTATCTATTTTAATTTTGGTGTCTAGTTTATCTATTTTGCTTCTGTTGCCTGTGCTTTTGTTGTCATACCCAAGAAATCATTACCAAACACAATGTCATGAAGCTTTTCCCCTATGCTTTATTCTAAGAGTTATAGTCTTAGGTTTTACATTTAGTAAATAATGCATTTTGAGTTCATTTTTAATTTTTGCATAGAGAGAGTCCAATGTCATTCTTTTGCTTATGAATATTCAGTTTTCCCAGTGCCATTTGTTGAAGAGACTACCCTTTCTCCATTGATTGGTCTTGGCACCCCTGTCAGAAATCATTTGACCATATATATGAAAGTTTATTTGTGGGCTTTCTATTTATTCCATTGATGTGTATGTCTGACTTTATGTCAGTCCACATTATTTTGATTACTGTAGCTTTGTAATAAGTTTTAAAATCAGGAAGTGTGAGACCTCCAACTTTATTCTTTTTTCAAGGTTGTTTTGTCTATTCAGGGTCCCTTGAGATTCCACATGAATTTTAAGATGGATTTTTCTATCTTTACAAAAAAAAATCCCTCTTTAAGAGGGATTGTACTGACTCTATCAATTGCTTTGGGCAGTATTGACACCTTAACAATATTAGTCTCCAAATCTATGGCATGGAGTTTCCGATTGTGTCTTCTTTAATTTTTTTCAGCAATGTTTTATAGTTTTCAGTATACAAATCTTTCATCTCCTTTGTTAAGTTTACTTCTAAGTATTTTATTCTTTTTGATGTTATTATAGTCATTTTTTTATTTGCTTTTTAAATTGCTTCTTGTTAATGTATAGAAACATCTGATTTTTGCAAATTGATTTATATTCTGAAACTTTGCTGAATTTGTTTATTCTTACAGTGTGTGTGTGTGTGTGTGTAAAATCTTTAGGATTTTCTATATTTAAGATCATGTCATCTGCTAAGAGATAATTTTATTTCTTCCTTTCTGATTTAGGTGTCTTTTATTTCTTTTTCTTGCCTAATTGCTCTGGCTAGGACTCCTAGTACTGTACTGAATAGTAGTGGCAAAAGCAGGCACTCTTGTCTCGTCCCTGATGTGAGAGGAAAAGCTTTCAGTCTTTCATCATTGAGTATGATGTTAGCTATGGGCTTCTCATATATGGCCTATATTATGTTGAGGTAGTTTCCTTCTATTGCTAGTTTTTTACACACTTTTTTTTAAGTAGGCTCCACACCCAGCATGGAGCCCAACATGGAGCTTGAACGCACAACCCTGAGATCAAGACCCAAACTGAGACCAAGAGTCAGATGCTCAATCTACTGAGCCATGCAGGGACCCCGGTTTTTTACACATTTTCATCATGAAAGGGTGTTGAATATTGTCAAGTGCTTTTTTCTGCACCAATTGAGATGGTCATTTGGTTTTTTTCCACCCTTAATTCTGTTAATGGTGTATCACATTGATTTTCATATGTTGGACCATCCTTGCATTCCCGCTTGGTCATGGTGTATAATTGCTTTCAAATCCTGTTTGCTAGTATTTCTTTCGGGGTTTTTGTATCAATATTCATCAAAGATGTTGGTCTACTTTTCTCTTCTTATAGTGTATTTGTACAGCTTTGGGATCAGGGTAATAATGACCTAATAGAATGAGTTGGGAAATGTTCCTTTCTCTTCAGTTTTTTGGGGAGTTTGAGGAATACTGGTTAATTCCTTAAATGTTTGGTGGAATTCACCAGTGAAGCCATGTGGTCCTCGGCTTTCTTTTGTTAGGAGGTTTTTGATTACTGATTTAGTCTCCTTACTAGTTAGATCTGTTCAGTTTTTCTGTTTCTTCCTAATTCAGTCTTGGTAGGTTGTATGTTTCTAGGAATTTGTTCATTTCATCTTGGTTATCCAATTTGTTGGCATATTATCCTTCATTGTACTCTCATAACCCTTTTTATTCCTGTAAAATGGATAGTGATATTCCTCTTTCATTTCTGTTTTTAATTATTTGATTTTCTGTCCTTTTTTCTTAGTCTAGCTAAAGGTTTGTCAATTTTGTTGATCTTTTTGAAGAACCAACTCTTGGTTTCATTGATTTTCTTTCTTTTTTTTTTTAATTCTATATTTTCACTTCTGCTTTAATCTTTTTATTTCCTTTCTTTTGCTAGCTTTGGGTTTAGTTTGCTATTCTTTTTCTAGTTTCTTAAACTATAAATTTAAGTTGTTGATTTGATATCTTTTTAAAGATAGCATTTATAACTATAAATTCTCCTTTACCACTGCTTTCATTGCATCCTGTACATTTTGGTATACTCTGTTTTGCTTTCTTTTGATTCAAAATATTTTCTAATTTCCCTTGTGATTTATTCTTTGACTCATTTGTTGTTTAAGTGTGTTATTTAATTTCCACATATTTATGATTTTCTAGTTTTCCTTCTGCCATTGCTTTATACTTTCATTTCATTGAAGTCAGAAAAGATGCTTTGTGTGATTTTAATCCTTTAAAATTCATAAGACTTGTTTTGTGATGTAATA